CCATGCTCAACCATCCCACAGTTCCCCTTAAACTCACTTCTTTAGTTAAGCCTTTCATGGGTGGTCCGCCATTGAGTGCTTCCTCCTACGAGTGAATACAGCAGGGGAGAGTGTTCAAAGGGCAGGAGGAAATGAAGGAATGGGATAAAAGGGGGATGAGGGAACAGTGGACAGGGAAGGCGGAATGAAGGAAAGACACGAAGAAAAAGAGAAGGAAAAACACTGTGAGCGAGAGAAGTCACACCAGTCTGAACACTTGCATCCCGTTCTTTACATCCGCATGGCTGCGACCGCTCTTGCTAAGGACACTCTGCATTTTAGACAAAACCTAGGAGCCTCAAGTGCCTGACAACATCAAAAAGGACCATAGGAAGTTATTTTTAACCTCACTGGTTCTTCATTTCACCTGTTCCCAAGAATTTATGGGGAAATATGCTTTCATTAAATGTATCTGCTCTTTACAAGGTCCCTACATTCTACCCATTCGACAATGGAGCTCAAGTCTGGTGGCCAGAAGTGGGTAGGGAAGGGTTGGGCCCCAGATCAGCCACCACCAAGCAGTGTGGTGTGGTCCCTTCCCACATCTGTACTCCAGCAGGGTTCTCTCCTGTGGAATAGGGCTATAATCCTCCCTTCTCTCAAAGACAGAGTGAAGACAACCTTCAGGATGTGCTTTTATGGACTTAGAATCCACTGGAAGGCATGCACTCCTGAAATGTATGTGTGGTGGGTGGGTGGTGGGGCATGTAATTTTAAACACGGTATCCTAAAAGTATTGGGAAACTTAGAACATACATTCTCTTGGTTACTCATCTAAAGAAAAGGAAACTCACTGGCTCGCTCTATCTATCTATCTATCTGTCTGTCTATCTATCTATCTATCTATCTAATCTCTTTCCATCCATCCATCTAACCATCCATGCATGCATCCATTCGTCCATCCATCTTTCTTCCTAGTTGTTGCTAAAGGAGGGGAGGGGGAGAACACAACTGTACAAGCAACATGAGGTATTTTCCTCTGAGGGTCAACTATCATCTCTCAGATCCTAAAAAAATGGTCCCACCAACTGAAAAGCAACATTATTCTCCACTCTCTCAAGTTTTCTCAACATTTCCAAGACTCTTAACAATTTTGCTCTCCCAGAAACATCAAAACACCACCGCAGACAGGCAGATGGGGACATTCTCTGAGGGTTTTTTTTTGGTTCTTGGCTTCCATTTAAAATAGTCATCAGGTTAAATAAGAACAAGCAAAAGTGCTCTAGCAGAAAGACTTTTCTTAAAGCTGTGTCAACAGAGACTTTATTTTTTTTTAAAGAAGTGTGCAAATAAACACATCTAACCCTAGCCTTACTGAGAGCTGTCCACAGCTGCCCCTCCCCTGGAGTCTGCACCCCAGCTGTGTCTGTGGGCGTCTGGTAGCAGGTTTGCTGGGCGTAGGGTTAAAATATCCCTCCTTGGCCAGGGGTACACAGGCAGACCCTGGGGTCTTGCCAGGTGTTTGCATTCTTCCAGGAACATCAGAGAACACATAAAGTTTGAGGAACGCGTCAGATGTCACAAGTGGCCTCACAACAAACGTCCGTTTGAAAGCCTCCGCAGATGTGGACATCCAAACATGGTCAGGCCCGACCTCTCCCAGGAGCGGGAGCTGCGAGGGCAGGGCCCAGAGTGAGGGCACGTCTCTATCTGCTCGACATCTTGAGAGCACCGCCATCACCACAGGGAGGCCAGAGACACCAGGAGGGCCCCTGCTTCCAGAATTATCTCCCCGGTGGCTGCCCTGGGAACAGAAATTCTACCATTCGTCAGGCATTCCTCTGGGGTGAAGCTTCACGGCATCTTTGGACACTCCTCCTTTAAGAGGAGCCTACTTCAGGAGGAGGAGCCTCTGAAGGATGCCCTGCTGGAGACCACACAGTGCAGGAGGCAGGCAGCACAGGCCAGGCCAGGCCCACACCCCGTCCCCGGGGCCTGCTCCCAGGGAAGTGTGCTCCAGGATGCTTACGGGAGTATGCAAGAGTTGGTTCACCTAATTCCCTCCCCTTCCTGCTCTCCACGACCGAAAGAGGTTTATTTCCCTTGGAAATTGTCCAGTCTAGTCTAGGACCCCTCCCCCCGCCACTCCAGGTGATGATATTGTTAACTCTATGATAAAGGTGGTTGAAACTAACACATCATCAGACAAGGCACCCCCTCCTTGCAGTCACCTGTAGACCCCCAGGTCATCCACCCTCGCCTCAGTCCCTGTACTTCCTGAAGACTTTTCTCCTGGATCGCGGCCACCTTTTCTGGCACCTGTCGACGTCAGTGATGGCGGTTCCTGTGCCCTGCCAACCGGCTCCACAGCCCCTCCTCTTGATCTCTTCTCTGCCCAATATCTCCATGCTTGTGGCCAGCCTTTCATTGCCAACTACTGCACCTGCTGCCTTGGACTTCCAACACCCACTCCTGGACACTCCCCTTTGCTGCTCACTCCTGCAGGATTCCAGCCACTCACCAACACCCTAGGGACCCCCAGTCCACTGACCCACCACTCTTCAGCACCTATCACTGCCTTGGGTCCTTATTCCTGTCCTTGCCTGGCTCAGTGTCAGGGAATGCACCGTCCTGACTCCACCTGACTCCTTCCTCCTTCTTTCCCTCCAGTGGCACTGCCCAGAGAAACCTCAGTCCTGGTTAAATTCAGTTCTGTAACTCTGCACTTGCACCTGCGCCATCGTGGCTGAAAGTAGCTGGAGAAGCTCACGGCTGTGTTGCACAACGACGGGTCATTCTGGAAGCACAGCTACAAGCCTGGAAACCCCCGCTCTGTGATTGTGGGTGAGCCGCTGGGGACCCAAGCGAAGGCCAAGCCTTCTCCTTTACTCAAGGCCATGGCTCCATGGAGCCTCCCCTCTGCCCCAGACCACTCCCATCCATGCACACGACATGTGGATGCCTCCGTTTTGACCTCACTTCCCTAACCAAATACCAGGTCTCTCCCCTCTACAGAGACACCCCTGTAATACATAGAGGATCCGTATTACCCCCGACATCTGCAACCCATCTCCTTAACGTTAGCTCCTGCCACCTGATGGGCACCTCTCTAGCTAGGGTCCCCTTAAGAGCCCCCATAGCTTGGTCAGGTCCTTCTTGGTCTTCCTAATCCATGGCCCAGCAGCTGCCGTCGACACAGCCAACCCGCTCCCCATATCCTTGAACACATCCTCCCTGGGGGCTCCCAGAACTTCACCCTGCCTGGTTTTGCTTCCGCCTCCCTGCCAGCCCCACTCCTGGTCTCTGGCTGGTTCCTCCTCCCAAGCTGCTTGCTCAGTGCTAGCAGACCCCTGGGCTCGGCGCCTGCACCTCTTGTCAACATGACCCTTTTTGCTCCCTGACCCATCCCCTCTGGCTCTCCCTTTTGCTCTGCACCTTAGCCGCCTTGCTGTCCCTGGAATACTCTTCCAGCTGGGTTTATGCCCGAGATACCTGCACAGCTCACCCCTCACCTACTGCGGTGACATCTTCCCTGATAGCCTACTTAAAACTGCAAACCCCTCCTCACCCTCATCACTCCCTATTCTGTTTTCTTAATTTATTTTTCTCCACAGCAATTATCACCCGCCCCTCGAATGTAAGGCCCATGAGGGCAGAGCTTTATGGCTCTTTGGCTCGCTCCCAGACACCCAGCCCTAGAATGGTGTCAGGCATGGGGTAGGTGCTCGATACACACTGGTAGAGTGAATCATGGATGCATTACAAGCTTATGCTAATTGTGAATTGTGATTTAGAACTTCAAGGACTCGAAGGAAAGCATTACATACATTCCCAGTTCTCTCTCGGGGCCGATTTTTCTCTTCCCTGCCCCCGTGGGGTAAGATGTGGGACCACCAGGGCCTCCAAATGTCCCAGGTTGACCCCCGGTCCCTAGTTCCAGGTTTCCTCTGGCTTCCTAAATGGCCAGAGGGTCTGGATCTTCTGCCCACCCAGACAGTGAGCAGCCAGCTTGTTGCACTTGGCTTTTTCTCCAAAGCAGGGTACCCCAGTGGTTCCCCTCCATTGGTCAGAGGGGACCCGGCTTGCAGTGGGACAACAAGGGCAAAGGGTGAACACCTGAGACCCAGCTCCCATCCCAAACAGGAGAAGAAATGCGCCCCATGTCTCCTTGTGCAGGAAACACCCTGCTTCTCTGCAGCTTTGGGAGCCTCTTATCACCTTTGACCTTCCAACAATCCTGAGGCAAGAGGATAATCCCCATTCGCCAGCTAAGAAAATCAAGGCTCAGAGAAGTCGAAGGGTTTGTCCAAAGTCACACAGACAGCTAGAAGGAAATCGGGAACGAGCTCTTGAACCAATATCTCCTGAGGATTTACGGTATTAAGGAAAGATGCATGTGATATCACCACTGCCCTTAATGGTTCACACTTTATTCTTGAGAACTCAACATTTCCAAATCTTAGCCCACGGTTAGCCAAGTCTGCTTTCCACCCAAGGCCAGGGCTGCCACAGACTAGCCCAGGAGCAGATAACACCAACCTGACATTCTGGTCAGAAGGCCTCAGGCGCCTACCTAGGGCTGGCACACAGAGCCCTCAGTGACTGCCTGAGACTCAGCTCTTTGGCTGCCAACAACTGCCTGTATTTGAAATCAGAGAAAATGTTCCCAAGTTACAGCCTTTTATGATGTGCATTCTGGAGAAGTCACAATCTCCAGATCTCTTCTAGAACATAAGCTTGCGGAGGACAGGGAACAGTGCTTAGCACACAGTAGGCTCTCGATAAACGTGTGTTCAATGAACTCTGAGTCCGGCCGGGCCCCAGCGGCCCAATGGCGCGGGATGGGGGCGCAGTGGAGCAGAGGGGCTTCCTGCGTGGATCCCAGACTCTGCCACCTGGGCCATCCATGCCTCAGCAATCAAGGGCCAGGCAACTAGATGCTCCCTGGATTTAGGGTTCCCTCTCCCCCCACTGGAGTCTGCCAGGGCCCCTGCACCTACCCAGGCCCCGCCGGCGCTCACCTGGGAGATGTGGGACTGCGTCTGCTCGCTCTCACCGTCCCCCTCCGTCTTGTCGGTCAACAGCCCCTGCACCTGGTACTCGAGCACGTAGCTGTCAATGAAGCGCTCCAGCTCCTCGATCTCCTGGGAGCGGCTGCTCCCAGCCTCGGATGAGGCTGACGCAGCAGAGGAGTTCTCCATCCCTCCAGCTCAGGGGCTGTGTGGGGGCTGCAGGAGACAGAACAGCGGGCTCGGTGAGACGCAGCTGGAGGGAGGTGTGGACGACGCCCCACTTGAGAACCACTGCCCGCTCCTGGAATATTCTCTCATCCGTCCCGGCATCTTGGCCTCCCAACATCCCAGAGAAGTGAGTGGGGCACCAGCTTGTCTTCAATGTGAAGAATACGCTACAAGTCTCCCTGCACGTGGAGGGAAACTGAGGCCCAGGGAAGGCAGGTAGCTTGCCTAACTGGCCAACGCAGTAACTTGTGCAGTGTTGGGTCTTAGTCCACACCTGGACCTTACCACGTGGGATTCGGCAGGGGACAGACCCAGCTTCCCAGCCAAGCCCCATTTCCCAACCTGGAGTTAGCCAAATCTACCACAAGGCAGAATGAAACAGACCACAGGCTTTGACGTCCCAGACTCAAGCACTGGGATGTACCAGGGTCCCCAGACACAAACCCCCTAAGGGGCCTGGGTCCTGCAAGAAAATGTTTCCTTCTAAAGAGACGCTTTCTCTTGGGACACCACACTACCCCCTAAATTAGGTGAGGCCCGCAGGCCTTAATTGTGTATACACAACTTTGCAGCCTTGTTATGATGCAGCTGACCAGGACACACTATGCTCAGTCTGTTAAGGATGTGACTGGTTTTTAATGACAGAACATGAAGAGTCTGGGAGAGCATGGGCTAGCCATGGGCGGCGTCTGGCCACCCTCCACAGGCATGTGGCTCTCTCATGAGCCCTCGGGCCCTCTCTCTGTGCTGGCCTGGCATCACGTGACTGGCATTCTAGGGATACTTGCTAAAGTCCACCCACAGAACTGCTGTCCTTCCCTGACCAGACTGGGTCAATCCAGCCATTCATTGCAGGGGCACAGGCCTGCAGGGACACCCCCCTGCCACTGCCGACTCCTGTCCCCCGAAGCTCCCACCTGGAAGTGGGGAGAACTGGGACCCTTCTCACCTCTGGGTCCCTTCCCACCAGAGACCCTCCCCTTCCTTCTGACAGCCTCTAGGCCAGATGGGAAGGGGTTTTCAGGCTTATCTGGTGTCCCTTTTGTCATTGGAAAATTGCTGCTTTCCATGGGGGAGTGCATTCAAGCTGGAGGAAGCCCAGCCTGCATACGGTTTCATCATCAGAACTAGTAGAATGGTCTTCTACCAAACAACCACCAGTAGATACACAAAGAAGACCCGAATAACACACAGGACTCTGGGACCACAAGGGATTGCATGCATCTAGAAAGTCACTGTTGATAATAAAGGCCAGATCCTCGTATATTGAAAGGAGCATTTGAATTTCAAGACCTTGGATTACTAGTAGAGAACTTTTTTGGAACACAGTTATTTGCCAACTTATCAAGGGTCTGTTGAGTTTTCAACTATAATGGATCCAAAACAGGGCACTGGGTTCCAGAAAGACTGTTGAGACCATGAACATGGACTCCCCGAGACCGTCACTGGCTTTTTCAAAGGTTGGTGCTGGTGGTGGGGAAGAAGAGCTGCCTGGGGGGACACCCACATTCCTCAACTGATTTCCTGGTTCCTATTTTGGCTTTTGGCTGCTGCATGGGGCCCTGCCTTCGCTGGACCCCAGGGCAGCTGCAGAGGAGCTGTGCTCGCTCTGGGTTCCTGAGCTCTGCAGCCTTGGGCCTCATGGGTATGTGCACCTGACCCAGAGGGAAGACTCCAAAGTTTCAGATCTGGGTACCCTCATCAGAGGGCAGGTGTGGAGGCCAGGGTGGCAGCAGGTCTGCAGAGAGTTGGCTCAGACTGGGGAGAAGCACGCCGAGTGGTGCAGGGCCATGGTGGGAGGTGAAGGTGGGGATGTCCCATGCCCCTTCCTCCACCTGCCATTCAAGGCCTATAGCAGGCTTACACCCTTCCTACCACCATGGCCCACCTTACCCGTCCTGCTCCAATGGTTGCCCATGACCCCTTCTTACCCTACTCCTTGTCCTGGCCACATGCCATGTGTGGTAGGCAGAACACTAAGAGGGTTCTGGGTGTACACCTTCTCCTAATTACTCAATCAAACACTAATCTAGCTACTCCTGGGAAGGAATTTTGCAAATATAATTAAATTCCAAATCAGCAGACCTTAAGATAGGGAGACTATTCAGGAGGTCCTCATCCAGCCACATGAGCCTCTTAAACCTGGGATGGGAGGTAGAGACAGAGATGCAAAGCATGAGAAAGACTCAGCACACTGTGGCTAGCTTGAAGAAGGAGCGTGTGCAAAGAAAGCAGGCAGCGTCCAGGAACTGAGAAGCAATCCTTGGTCAATGACCAGCAAGGAGAAGGGCACCTCAGTCCTACAACCGTAAGCAAGTAACTTCTGCCAACAACCGATGAGCCTGGGAGCAGACTTTGTCCCCAAGTCTCCAAATGAGAACTCAGCCTGGCTAAAAATTTGGTTTGTCTCATGATTTATTGAGCTGGACTTCTGACTTTTAAGAGCTGTGAGTAATAAGTGGGTATTGTTTTAAGCTGCTAAGTTTGTAGCAATTTGTTACAAGGCCATAGAAAGAGAACATGTGATGCTCTCTCTCTGCCTCTGCTTTTGCTCACACTGTGCCCCTCACCCAGAGACACATTCCCCTTCCCTCTGCCTACAAAATCTAGCAGTCCTTACATGCACAGAATGCTAGAACAGTGCCTCAGCGGCCCTCTGGCAACCAGCCCAATCCCCTGCTTTCAGAGTGGGCTAGTGGGCAAAGGATCTACCCCGCCTTGGCATGTGGGCATGGATACTGTGACCTCTAATAACAGGAATGGCTAAAGTGCCCTGGGCCTATATCAAGTGCCAGGCACTGTTCCCAGCACTTGATATACCTTCTCCCACTTACCCCTCACAATAACGCCATGAAACTGGTATAATTATACTACTCAGAAGTGAAAACTGAGGGGGTGCCTGGGTGGCTCAGATGGTTAAGCGTCTGCCTTCAGCTCAGGTCATGATCCCGGGGCCCTGGGATCGAGTCCCGCATCGGGCTCCCTGCTCGGCAGGGAGCCTGTTTCTCCCTCTGCCTCTCTCTCTCTGTCTCTTATGAATAAATAAATAAAATCTTTAAAAAAAAAGTGAAAACTGAGGTTCAGAGAGGTGAGGTAACTTGCTCAAGTTTGCACAGCACAGTTCCAGGCGTGCCTATACCTCACTGCCTCTTCATCCCACCTCCTAGCAGTCTGCTCAGGCTCTCAGGACATCTCCCACTTCTCACTGTCCACTACCCTTCCAAAGCCCAGTGGATTCTTCAAGTGCTGTGTGTGCCTCTTCCCCCCCGCACTGGGCTGCAGGCTCTAGAGGGCTGGGCCCCATGCCTAGCTCACTGCCCGGCGCTGGGCAGATGGCTGGGCCTCGGGGTGGGGGGTGGGATGATAAGGTGGATGTCCAGAGAGGGTTGAAAAGGAGCTGCCTGCTGGAAAAACCAGTGTCTCAGGCCATGCCCATTATTCCTCGAAGACTTAAGATCTTATCAAGGGCCTCCTGGTGTACTTTACAGGTACGGGCGGAGGACGGGGCTTTGCAGGAACCAGACAGGAGTGTTTCCAGGAGGATTAAGTGCCCGGCTCTGCCTGCAGCAGCAGCTCTGGCCTGCTCTGCTGGACTCTCCCAGGCTCTCGCAGGCCCCTCACCAGGCCACACCACAGTCCCGTGAGGAACCCTGGGGTCAGTGATCACTGCAGAAAGGGACAGGCAGTGAGACCCACTCCCAGCCTGCCCAAGTTTGGTGCCCAGAGGGAAACAGAGGACTCCCACACTGGTCGCTTCTGGATGGCCTGGGTGTCCTCCATCCTCTCGGTGCTCCTCCCATTGCAGTCAGTCACACGGTGAGCCTGACAGTACCTCCCCTCAGCTGCCCCGAGCGCATTCTGCCCAGGGCTCCCCTGGCACACCCAGCAGATGCCAGCAGGGCCCCCCTGGCGCCTGGCTCCTGTGCCCGAGCAGGACGAGGTGCTAACTGTTCCCAGGGCAGCCCCCGACGAACTCTCTCCTCAGTCTCTCATGCCAACTGAGGTGTGTTCTTCACGGTGTCTCAGCAGGTCCCAGTGGACTGGGCCCAGCTGCCCACAGTGGGCACCAGACCCGTAACACCCCTTTGCCCGGCACTCCTTCCTCCTGTGTCACCCTCCCCAGGGACGCTTGTTCTTGGGGTACGTCCAGGAACTCCACTTTCCGAGAGACAACCAGGCTAACGTATCACCTGGGCTCATTTATACATTCTAGAATGAGTCCCAACCAGGGCACTTTACCTCCTCAGCAGAGAAGAGGGAGGAGGGACAGGAAGGGGGTGCTGTCCACCTCATCCATCTCCTCAGCTACTGGGCTGGAAGTTCACTCAGGCACTCACACCCCATTTTTTAAAATTGTGGTAAAATACATTTGCACAACATAAAACGTACCACTGTAACCATTTTTAAGTGTACAGTTTGGTGGTGTTAAGAGTTTTCACAATGTTGGATACGCAACATCGCTCTATTTCCAGAACTTTCCAGCATCCCAAACAGAAACTCTGTACCTATTCAGCAACTCCCACTCCCCTCATCTCAGCCCCTGGCAACTCCCGCTCTCCCTTCTGGCTCCACAGATCTGTCTATTCTGGGTACCTCCTGTAAGTGGAAGCATACAACATTTGTTCTTTTGTAACTGGGTTCTTTCACTTAGGATAATGTTTTCAAGATTCACTCACGGTGGAACATGTATCAGAATTTCACGTCAGACGCTGTATTACAATAACATATTGTACACAGAAACTCCATTTTGTGTGTCCATCATCCATCCATGGACATGTGGCTTGTTTCCGCCTTTGGCTATTGTGAGTAGTGCTGCTATGAACACGGGTGTAACATCTGAGTCCCTGTTTTCAATTCTTTGGGGTGCATACCCATAAGCTCTGCCCTATTTTTAAGGTAAAAGGAATGAGGAGGCACAGAGTGAATGAACTCTCAGGCCAGTGTAAGGCCAGGGAGATACA